GGTAGCACGTGTGATTCTCGCGCAGTACGAAGCAGAAGTTGTTTACTGCCTTCTACGAACTTTTAAAGTAACGTAATCCAAGTGCGCGTTATACAGCATCGATCGATTCAATCGCAGAGTCGATGTGACATTTATTAATCTTATGAGATATCGATTTTGCGTGATAGAATGTATTTGACATTAGCAGAGAAACTGCAAGATATGCGTGGTGCAATATTTGAAATGAGAACGTAAAATTAATATTTTTGTGAAATTTCGGTGGAAAAAGGGTCGAATTTCATTTATAAAATTGGTCTCAATAAACTCAGCAATAAATTCATTTTACCATTAATGGATATAGAATAATTTTACCATTAATGGATATAGAAAGTATCTAATCATTTTTATGTTTTATATCTTTCCGCATATTTGTAATTATTGAATTATTATATGTAAAATATCTATACTATTATTAATTATTAATCAAGATAATTTGTATCTATCAGTTTGAGGATGACCTGTGAAAATACATTGCTGACAATTTAGGTTGAGAACCATGACGGGTGTGTAATATGAAGATAAGATGTCCCCCATGTTCCCATGTGCCAGGTTTCCCGATCGGGGATTATGTTGCCATCTACGTTGACCCACCCCTTGAAACGAAAACATCCCGTCGTAGTGCGCCGACCAGTCCAACCCCATTACCTTTCGTACTCTTACGTTCGTCATTTCTCGTGAATCTTCGTTTCTTATTCGTCGTAAATTCATTCGAGGGAAATGGGCAAGCATTCGTTTCTACTTTTCGAAATCACTTGCATTTTCCACCGAATTACCGAGATTACGTTACGTAATTTCAAAGACGATGCTTAGTCTCTTTTTGCATCCCTCCTGAAAATACTTGCATCCCTTGATGAATTATGACGCCCCTCAGAAAACAGGATTATCAAATTTATATATTTATGTAATTTCGGGGGAATGATGCGCAAGATAGTACACTCATGATTTTTTTAACACAACGCGTTTTACGTTCTAACGGTGTACTTATACTTACGATCACGCGTCCTGTCTCTTATGTTATTTTACAGGGGTAGCTAAAGTACATTTTTATGAATCTATCAGATGTATCTCGCAGTTGGTGCATTAAATTCCGCGGGATGTTTTTCGATCGAATCTTTTTATAGCCATATTCGATCTCTCAAAATATCTATGTTTCGTTGTTTTGACAACGGCTAACATTTATATTTAATAACATTTGTGATAACTACAATAATATTCTGCTTAGAGTATTTTTAGAGAAAACACAGATGCTTCTAATTCAGTTTCAATTAAAATATAATAGCAAATTTTGTTATAGAAACATTTATTATTTATTAAGTTCAAAGAAAACTGAAATTATGTTATGAAAAGGATATTTCTTTTCCTAAACATCGCACATATTTGCGACGTATATTATCATATATTATACATATACAATGGTTGCCAAAACATATAATTTTATGTATCGATCTGTTTTTTAGTTTATATTATAAGTCAATAAATTCTTATTATAATCAATTCAAGAACATGATATTAAAAAAATTATATATATAATTAATATATTAATTAATTATTAAAATATATTAAATAGTATATATTTATTTGTACTAGATCTTTATATGCAAAGATTATTTAGCCGAGTAATACAATAAAATTATATCATTGACCGGAAACTTTTGGCAATGATTGTATACATAATAAAAAATATCGCAAATATACTTAAAATGATTATGATAGAGCCAAGACTCGTTTGTTTTCACGAAATATTTTCTCGATTTTCTAGGGAAACACTTTTATTCCTTTTCATCTCTGATATAAGAAATCGTCAGCATTCCGAATGGTAAGTCCGGTGTCAGCCTAATGTATGTCCTGCATGGCAAGGGTGTGCTTGATTCATTTCACCCTCGAGGTCCGCACCGACGTGGCGGTGCGCAATTTGTTACGCATTTCAGGAGTCTTCCCGCTCAACTCGTGCACGCGAATCAAAAATCCACCCTGCAAAACTTTACACGGGCGTCATAAGCTGACGCACTTAATTTAAAGATCGTCCTAGCGTCGAAAAGTCTCAAAAGCGAGGGTCGTTCCCCTCATTTCTTTCTCTCTCTCTCTCTCTCTCTCTCTCTCTCTCTCTCTCTCTCTCTCTCTCTCTTCTTTTTTTCCGCAGTTCATGCAACTCTGCGGGGGAGGCTTTACAATCCGAGCATTCCGCTTTACAGTTCATTTCGCTTGCGGCGGTGCTTTTTTCCTCTTCATCAAATTATTTTGAACTCGTCGCTGGAAACGTTCTTTGATTGTGCCCGGCATTTTCGAGGTGTCATGCCGTTCTTCACACGATTTTGATTGTATTAGAAACTCAATTCTTCTTCCCAATATGTCTATACTCATTGATATCAATGCTATTCAGTATTTTCAATCATTATTTAATAATTTTCATCTATCAAAATTGATTGCTGATTACTTTGCACATCTTTGACGTAGACAATCAATGTAACACTCATCTAATCAGGAGCATAATCACAAAAACACAATAAATAAAAGGAATATTCAATTACGCAATAAAGTAGAACGACGTCGTAATGTAATAAAATTAATCGAATAAGTTAAAATTTAAAAATCAAATGATGCTATTTCTTTAAACATGATTTTTATTCAATACTCAATTAATATAGATGTATAGATTTTATTAATCCATCAATCTCGCAACATTTTATGGTTTCAATCAACTTGGTCATCATTGACATAAGATTTGAAATGCCATCACGACAGGATGAGAAAGAGAAAGAAAGAGAGAGAGAGAGAGAGAGAGAGAGAGAGAGAGAGTCGCAGTTGCGTAGGCATGTGGCAAATTGCCGAGATACCCGCTAGAAGGAAATCGTTCACGGAGGTGGAAGTGTCTCTCAAAGGACGAAGTGGACCAGTAGGAAGGGCGAAGCAGAGGAAAGGACGATGTACATCGCGGCGGTAGGAAGGAACGATACGACGCGAGGCGAGATGGAAGGTAGAGGCGGCCGGTAATCTGTGATTCAAAGAGAGCGATCCATCTTGCAACATGCCAGGATTCAATCGGCGGCATTTGTTTGTGAAATCAGTCCCGAAGGACTCTCCCTGTCGCTCCTCGTCTCCTCCACGTCTCCTCCACGTCTTCTCCACGTACGATTCTCCGATTGTCTCCGAACTGGCACGACAAAACCCGCAGGACCGAAGGACGTGAATAGAAAGCGCCGGATTTGTCTTATCGACGACGGAGTGTAGAAAGCGATTATTCTCATTCGTGACTACTGGAAACGGATATAGACAAATTTAGGTGCTTTACAACTATCGTCAGTTCTGTACGATGTGCGACGTGCTTACAATAAATGTTTAACATGTCTCTATCTGAAAATAAAAATTAATAAAAAATTTATTTCTTGAAAGCTCACTTTCAAATAACTTTTCAAGAGCATTGCAGAAACATTGTGACGTCATTTGAAACAACATTTTCATCAGCGAGAGGCAAAGGAGCGCCGGCAGGGCGTGCCGCATGATCGACGCCAAGCACAGGGGGCTAATAAGGCCATATATATTTATTCAGCTAGTCGGGGGTGGATTTTATATCCCTGGTCAGGACTAGAGGACGGAAAGAGAACGAAGAGGCGAAGGGAAAAACGCCGTCGAGAGAGGAGAACGGTGCGGCTTAGCATTCGGAAAATACCGAGGATAGATTCGTGCGTCTGATCCGTGCCAGATCCCATAAAATGACCCTAGCACGATCGAGTGCCCGCCATGCCATGCCGTACCCGCGCCCCTGTAGTATCGCGCGAGAGAGGCTACCCCAGAAAATTATTGCTCTCCTTATACATTCGTTCGTACTGCTGAATTAGGGCCGAGTCGAATAAACTTGTGCCCTTTAGATATGGGAAAGGAACGATAGGCGAAAAAGAGAATGACACGTAAAATAGAAAAACGAGTCAAGGCTAAAATAGGAATAAGAGAAAAGAAAAGTATGCAGGATTTGTTCTGAAATTCTGTTAAAAAAAACGAATTTATGTGTAAAATCAAAAAAAAAAATGAGAAAAATGATATTTAATCAAATCTTCGTAAAATTAATTTGATTTAAAATTTGTAAAAATATCTATGAGAAAAACATATATATATATATATATATATATAGTATAAATGATGTTAACGAACATTGTAAATATCGAGTGCTTCATATCTGAAAAACTGCGAAATCTTATCAGTATAATTGCGATTGAGGAAAGATAATGTACGAAGAGCAATATGTTACATATCTTGAGCGTTCAAGTTGGTCTCGCAGCACGCGATCGCTGAATTATAAATACTGCGCATTAACCACAATTATCAGAAGAATAGTAACGGAATAACTTAATAAGCGGAATCATTCGGATATATATGCAACAGTGTTAACAGTGTTGCGCCAGGGTACATTACGCCAGATCCTCGAGCTCCAGCTTTCCAATATATTAGCAATTATTATAATATATTATACGCTCACGCGCACGCTTTTATAATAATTGCCACGGTTAAATCTAACGCCGCGCTACTATTGTTTGTATCTTAGATGGTTGCAATAAATCTGTTAAGCAATAAAGTTTGCCGTGAGTATCAGAGCATTACTGGTTGATAACATGCTCCGATAATGGAAAGAACATATGTATATATTTTATATTTGCACATACATGTTTTATATATACACGATAATGGAAATGAAGAAACTGAAAGAAATTTTCTTTTACGGTTTTAATCATTACTTTGATATTCTATGCGCATATTAAATTTGTGTGTAATTTATCATGTTCTGTCAGAATAGAAAGCGATATCCCACTATCTAAATCTATACTATTATTATTTTATTAAAATTATTCTACGGCAAAAACCGATAGTAGTAATAAAAAAATTAATTTTATTAGTATTTCACATTTTTATTATATATTTGCAAATAAGTAGTTGTAACAAAATACTCGCATGAGTACTAGTTTCTCATCTTACTCTTTCTGTTGGCCGTAGTGATAATCGATAAATCTGTAACCTTGCGTCATTTGAGCCCCGGCGTTTGTGAAATGGCATGCGAACAGCAACAAATTTCGCGGTTGTACTTTCCAAGCAAACCGCATGAACATCATGGAATACAGGGTCAAGGCTAACAAATCAGAAAAAGAATTACATCAAATAAGAGAAAACAGATTACGGCGTAATCAGTAAATTAATATAGTAAATTTATTGCCTATCATCTTATTATTATTTTATTATTATCAAGAAATAATTTTAAAAACAGCGACTTCTTCGTTACATAAATATAGTAATTTTCTGAGACATTTTCGAGATTCAGAGGAAACTGTTTGGAACAGACACGCCGCTTTGAGAGATTAAACATAATTTTACTGTAATATTTTATTTGCAGACTGGTTTTAGGCCAGTATGCACTCCCAGATATTCATAACATGCTACTCATTAAGAAATAAACGGTTATTTGCTGCGCTCGAGCAGCAATTATTTTATAGGTCTTCTTGAACCTCGTCCCCCTCCTTCCCTCTGTTAGTCGCGCATCAACTTGTTCTGTCGCGATTATTAAGAGATGGTGAATGAATTCTTCGAAGGGTCTACCAGGGTAAAGCTATATATCGAACTCACCTAAAGTCATTTTGCCGCTAATGATTTTTGGATGCTTTCGCATGTCAGATATAGCTGCTAAAGGTATCGTCCAGTTGAATAATGGGCCCCAGAAGTGAGTGCTTAAAAAGTAGTTTATTTTCCATAAATTGCACTTTTAAGTAAGTGCTAAAATATGGAGTACAATAATCTCAAAAAAGGAACATATGTATCACCAATGTTTACATAATATTAGAAACTGAAGAATTATGAAAAGAGAATAACACACTGAAAAAAGAATCTGGTTGCATTAATTGGAATTCTATAGATTCGATCACAAAATTACAAATCAGACACTTGTAGATAAATTTATCAAACATTTTAATCAAGATAAGAAGAAAATCAATTACGATAATCAGAACTCTGATGATTAGAATGCATTTTGTTCATACTTCTTATTAATATAACCAGAATATTCTCAAGTCTTTTAATTGAGAAAATATTAATTGAAAAAAAATATTAATTTTACTTAATATTAAGTTACTAAATATTAAGTTTACTAAATATTAAGTTTACTTTATATGTATATGTACAATATTTTTTAAATCAAAATTCATCATGAGTGAATATTACCTTAAGAAATAATCTCTGGTTTCTTTAGTTAACAGAGATTTCGACAATCGTTTAGACATGATGAACGAAGTCGGAATATGATATCAATGAGATTTTTAATTATATTCGCCACGAGATCGTATAGCGTGCAGCAAAATATCGGTTATATATTTGCATGTAACCTAAACGGCTCAGACACTGACAGTTCCAACTGAAAGGCGTCGAGATCAAGCAACGATAAAGCTGATATCAGGATTCATAGTTTATTTCCGTTACCGTGACTCGCTACACGATTTATCACAGGCACGCAATTCCGCTTATCATCCCGAGAATTTCTAATGGACGTAGATTTGCAGCGCGATTTTCTCTTTGAATGTGAGTTTAATGCGATTGCATTGTCACATTGCTTAAATTTTTTTCAGCAATTAAATTTTAAAATATAAAGACACTTTTACGTCACTATGACAAACGCTGACGATAAGCGAGATGACATTATCACGACATTAACGAGAAAAGATTATAAATCATTTTCCGAGACGAAGTAACGCGTTTCATACTTTAGTTTGAAGTGATTTTTTTTTAACTAATGCGCGTCTTTTATGACAGTTGCCACATTACGTGTGATCTTTATAGTCAGATCTGTGATTATTGTAAATATTAACTACCATCTGAATCAGAAAACTGGATTTTCAAGTTGAGATTTTTTGCGTTGCTGTTTACTCGGTTTACGAGTCTCACTAGATATAATTTCATAGTATAACCAGTTATCTGTGTATGAAGGTTGTCTGCTTATCGCCACATACAATTATATTTATCTACAAAATAAGAAGCATTTACTATGTACATAATAGATATTGCATTTATCAATGATGAAATATTTAAATGTATGCAAACAAATCTTATTATCGGTCTATGCATGTGTTTGAATATTTGATAATTCACTTGATAATCCATTTGTTAATCCACGTATACATTGTGATAAAATGCATTACAAACTGTCAAAATTTAATCCATATATTTTGAATAATTTAATATATAATTAATAATAAATTTATAATAAAATGTCTTTAAAGAAATTATGTACTCTCAGCAGAAATATACATATAATAATTTCTTAATACAATGGAGTATATTTTTCATTAATGAGCAGTATTTTTTTTTACATACTGCTCAGCTAGCTAACTTTTCTCATCGATCGATTACTAGACAAATTGCACCAATCTATCTTTTCTCACCCTTGACTTAATCGTTGATCGATTTGCATAACAGTTTGTACGCATATTTATCATGATCCTAGTACATTTTTTATTTTTTGGATAGAGCCATCCCCTCCATCATAAATGCACAGGTTATTATTTCGCGCGTATAATATTGATGGCGCTATGAATGTTGCATGGAGGGGTACACGGCGTCCTGAACGCGACTCAACGGGGGTGGAAACCAGCTCGCTTATGGGGGTTGAAACGGGAGATGCTGGGGGACGCATGCGCTGTCACAGGAATAGTATTATTGATCTAAGAAGGGGATGGACTGTGGGACCCTCGAAGACCAGCAGTGTGTCGAGGCGATCCTGGCACCCTCAGCCTGACGATATTTCAAGTTCGATAAGTGATCATGATCGCTTTTGTTTCAGAATAATTTTTTTCTTTGCGGTACTAATAGACTGCACAATTTTATATAAATTTAGGAATCAATCCTCTTGTTTAAGTATTATATAAGCGCCTTATATTACAGTGATATGCATTTAAACTTAAGTTTTTTTTTCAATACAATTATACGTTATTTTATTTTAAAAATCGTTATAAAATTTAAAAACATTAGTAATATTAACTTACATAACTCATTTAATATGTAACATAATTTTATTTTGTAACTATACATAATGATAAAATATTTTTACATTTGCATAAATTGCGAAAATTAATAGTCCTTTATTTATTGTTTCATATTTATGTTTTTTTTTAACTTTGTAAATCTCATATTAAATTCTTACGTTAATACGTACAAATTACGTTTTTTATTTAAATAAATGAAATTTTCCTATATTTGTGTAGTTAAAGAAAATTAGAAAAATTCTTTTCTTTTTATTTTACAGTGTATCCAATTTTCAATCTCGATTATATACCGAGTGCCCTGGCGAGCGCCCGGTGTATACGTACCTAAAATCGACTATGTTTCCTGCATATGCATTCCCGTAGCATTCGCACGAGTGTCTCTCTCCCTTTTCGAAGCAAATCCTTATCCCGCGGTCCCTAGGTCCCCCAGGCCACCATCCGAGGCACTCAAGAGTATTGTCACTATTTTCCGTCTCGCGTATTACGCCGTGCTGCATTTTGCGATTCTCCCGGAATGTCATTTACACGCGACGTTCCCTTTGACGTGTATCAATATTTATTCTAGTTTCTCAGCCGCTCTCCGAGAATTTTCCGAGGTCGTTACATTTATAACGTTTGACTTCTTGTATTTCAAGAACATAAAGATAGATACTTATAGACTTGAGTATAATATTATCCAAACGATAATGGAAGAAAACTTACTTCTTTCAGTGTGTAATGAATAGTTAGAAAAATTTGTTTCATTAATTGATTTATAAAATAAATAGTTTATAAAAATAGTATTAAATTAAATTAACAAAAAATATAATACAATTTTTTCTCATGTTTTCGGTTTTTGATTATACAAACATAGAAAAATTTTATTCATTTAAATAAAAAACGTGACCTGTGCATGTTAACGTAAAAATATTAATATGAGACTTATAAAGTTGAAAAAGACGTAAATATAAAACAAAATAAAAATGTTATTAATTATTTAGAAGAATTAGATATATTAAATTATTAATTTATATATCAGATAACTCATATGGATGTATCGCATTAAGGAAACACAATCATTTAAAGCTAGAAGAATTCATTAATTATACACGTAAAAACGATGAAAAGACCTCTCTTTGTCGAAATGAAGTTTCGTTCTCTCGCATTGATCTTTACGAAGTACAAAGCAACAACGCACGATACATTCGCACGTATTTGATTTGTATTCGACTGGAGGAAATGGCACGGCCTCTTGCCTCTGATGTCTCTTGCTGACGCGCTCCGAAAAACCTTTTCTACTTTTCCGTCGTCGTTCCCGTTCGGTGGATCCCCTCTGCCAACGCTGATCTGAATGCGTCCTACGTATTTGCCAACACCCCCGCTACGCTCTTTTCAGAAAGAACTGTCGACAAGCACTCGCCACCCCCCGCACAGGACACGACTTTCATCCCTCTGCGAATAAAAAGTCGCGCGTTCACGTAAGCCCGACTCGTATTCGACGGAACCACCGTTGTCAAATCATCGTACATGAAAGCAACATGATTATAAATTTAGAGCATTTTTTATTTATAGTTTGATTTTGATGTTTTTCTTTAAATAAAAATTAGAATAATAATTAAACTCTACTAATTTAATTTATTATTCTTCTAGCATATACAGAATGTTCTATCTAATGTGAACATCTTTTATTTGCAGCGTAAGGTGGAATAAAAAATATGTTTAGACAATTCCATTTAAAAATAATCTTCATATCAGTCATAAAAATTCAATTTTTTCAATTTATTTATTAATTTATTTGTTATACTCTATCAGGCTGTCAACTTTTGTTTGAACATATTTGATTTTTCTACTTTGTCTTGCAAAAATATGTATATATAAAATATGTATATATAAGAGTCACG